CTTCTTCTTCTTCTTCTTCTTCTTCTTCTTCTTCTTCTTCTTCTTCTTCTTCTTCTTCTTCTTCTTCTTCTTCCTCCTCCTCCTCCTCCTCCTCCTCCTCCTCCTCCTCCTCTTCCTCCTTCTTCTTTCTTCTTCTTTTGTTGTTGCATTACTTCGAGTGTAGGATATGGTCTCCGCCACAACACAATACATGTGACATGGTCAGAGAACAATTTAAATGTACAGGAATTGAATCTCTGTTTCCACCATGTATGATCCAGGGATAAAATCAGATTGTCAGGCTTGATAGCAAGTACCTTTACCGCCAGAGCAATCTCACCAGCCAGACACTGGTTATTTTAAACTTTTCTCTGCCACCAGGCTAGGGACCTATCTTTAGCCTTAATTACACTTGGGTTGCTCAGATTTTCCTGCTTGTCTTTCTTAACAGATGTCAAAACAGTTGGACATGTTTAAGACCAACCTAGAAGAATTTGCCAGCAAGCACAAGCAAGAGATCCGCAAGAACCCTGAGTTTCGAGTCCAGTTCCAAGATATGTGTGCTACCATTGGGGTGGATCCTCTGGCCTGTAAGGGACTGTCTGTGGGGCCTGGTGTTCTCGTAAGACCCTTAAGGGAGAGAAGCTCCCCTGTTGATTTCACTTCTGTGGGATTCTCTAGATGCCAGCAAGGAAATATGGAGGATGTGTGTTTAGGGAGCATGTAGGAGGATGGTGTGTGCCCTTCTGATGTGCAGGCTGTAGTCTGTGGGTACCAACTTTCCATGGACAATTTATAGTGCACCTTTTCTCTTTTCCTGACTTTCCTCTTATTGGAAAATGGAAAGTATTTTAAAGATGTATTTTTCTTATGTTGAGGTACGTGAGCGTGGGGTCTGATGTGCATGTGAGTACAGGTGCCCTCTGGAGTCAGAGATGTCAGAACTCTTTGGAGCTGTAGTTAGAGACTGCTTTGGATTTGTTTGTTTATTTATTTGTTTTGCTTTTGGAGCCTGTCCTGGAACTCACTCTCTAGACCAGGCTGACCTCAATCTCACAGAGCTCCAACTACCTCTGCCTTGCGAGTGCTGGGCATAAAGGCATGCACCACCACTGCCTGGCTACAAGTGCTCTTAATTGCTGAGGCATCTCCAGTGGCTTGTCCCCCACCCCCTTACTCCCTTTTGAAAATTTTATTATGTAGCTCTGCTGGCCTGGAATTCACTGTGTAGTCTAGGCTGGCCTTGAACTCAGCATCTCAGCATCTCATATAGAGTAGGTTGGTTTCAAACTGGCTATATCCTGTAGCTTTCAAATTTTGGATTACAGTTGTGTGCTACTATAGCTCCCTAGAATGTATTTTCAGTTCATAGTGAGGGGGTTTTACTAGGACATGATCAGGAGATTCTGTGTGGGGGCAGTAGGGGTGCAGGTCAAAAGACAACTTTGGCTGTTGTTTTTCAGGGCCTGGAAATCACATAGTAGCTAGGCTGGCTAGCAAGTGAGTCTCAGGCATGTGCTTGTCTGCTTAGCCCTTGGGTCACAGGCACATTCTCCATGCCTGGCTTTTTAAACATGGACTCTGGGATCAAACTCAAGTCCTCACTTTACCTACTGAGTTATTCTGCTCCTCTCCCATTCCCACTTTGAGACAGGAGCTCATATAGCCCAGGCTGGCCTCAAACTTACTATGAACCTGTTGGTTCTCCTGCCTCCCCCTTCAGAACGCTGGGACTTGAGGTGTGCACTCTGCATGGACGTCCATGGCTCAGAAACTCTTCAGTAGTAAGCAAGGCAGGACTTGGGGTTAAGTAGGAAGACTTCGCACAGGCTAGAAGCTTTAATTTAGTGTTTAAAGAAGGGATGAAAATGAATAATACAACTTTTATTTATTTATTTATTTTTGTTTTCAGCTGGAAAAGGGTTTTGGTCTGAGATGTTGGGTGTTGGCGACTTCTATTATGAGCTGGGCGTCCAGATTATCGAAGTGTGCCTGGCCCTAAAACATCGGAATGGAGGTAAGGTTGGTTTGGTCTTGTAGACTGGGCTATTCTGTTTTCCTTTGCTAAAATCATATAGCCTGAAGGCCTGCTAGGTCTTGAGTCATATCTTAGCTGTTTGAGCTAGGGCTATTTAGTGAGACACCTTTTCTCAAAAAAAAAAGTTCATAGTCACTGTGAGTTGTTGGAGGCCAACTCTGCTTATATAGTTGGAGGCCTGACTGCTCTACCAGGCAGAGACCTTGTTTCAAACCAAACAACAATCAAATTGGTCATCTGGTGGTGCCGTCTTTGTTTTGTTTGAGACAAGGTCTGGCTGGCTCCGTAGCCCAGGCCAGCCTAGAACTCATGGTCTACCTTTGTCTCCTGAGTGAGGGAATCCTGGGGGAAGCCACCATGTTCATCTGTTGCCTTCATTTTCAGATTTTCCTGGGCCTTCCCTATGGAAACAGGGTCCCAGTCCTCGCTTTTGTGGTCTGGCCTGTTACTTTAGGAGAGGTTGGCGAACTGGAGCGACCTTTGTTGTTTGAGGTTGAGTGGAGAGGGTCCATATATCTGAAGTGGTGATTTTATTTTCTTTCTGCCCTCTCTAACAGGTCTGATAACTCTGGAGGAGCTACATCAGCAGGTGTTGAAAGGAAGGGGCAAGTTTGCTCAGGACGTCAGCCAGTAGGTCCTGCTTCCAATCCCTTGGGGTATTACAGAGTGTTTTTAAGAAAGGGTTTCTGTGTAGCCTAGACTGTCCTGGAATCTCACTAAGGATCCCAGAGTGGCTACCTACCCAGATCTCCTACCCAGCTACACATTTTTTCCTTACATGTTATGTGTCTGGGTTTTTTTTTGCCTGTATGTGTCTGTATACCTATGTGTGTACAGTGCCCAAGGAGGTCTTAAGGTGGTTTCAGATTCCCTGGAGTTGGAGTCAGAGGATCTTGTGGGTGCTGGGACTTGAACCCACGTCCTCTGGAAGAACATCTCTTAACTATGGAGCCATCTCTCCAGCCCCACCACCTTTTGACTGTTGGAATTACAGGAACACAGTACACTGGGCTAGAAAGAACACTTTAAAGATCACACAACACCCTCCTCCTAGTCCTTTGGTGTTGAGGCTAACTCTAGAGCCATTTGCCATTTTCTGCATGGTAAAAATATGTTCCTTTTTTTCTGAGTTTGGTGGTATTGTGGATCAAACCCAGGTCCTTATGCTAGGCAAGGTGTCCATCACTTGAACTATATACCTAGCCCCATAAAACCTTTTTCTTTTTTTGTGTGTGGTGGGGTTTTTTTTTTTTTTCCTCCCCCGAGTGTGTAGCCTGGGACACACTATGTAGACCAGGTTGGTCTCAAACTCAGAGAACTCCACCTACCACTGCCTTAGTAGTATTGAGGTTAAACATCTGTGCCACCACATCGGGTATACAGTAAACTTTTTTTTTTCTACCTGAGCCAAGGTTTCTCTGTGTCGCCCTGGATGTCCTGAAACTTGCTCAGTAGACCAGGCTGGACTCCAACTCAAAGACTCACAGAGATCTACCAGCCTCTTCCTCCTTAGTGCTGGGATTAAAGGTGTGTGTCACAACCACCCAGCTCTGTAAATTTTTTAATGGGTTGAGATTATAGGAGACTAATACAGGCACCTAAAAAGGCTGGGAACCAAGTTGAGGGTGAGGTGATGAGGCATAAATTGACCTAGATGATCCAACTGTGTGAATCCAACTAAGAAAAGATAAATAAATGGCTGTTTTAGATGTAGCTCCCAAGAGACCTGCCTCAAATAACAATGAAGAGCAGGGATATTGAAAAAGAAAGCGGGGGCAGAAGGCTATTAGCCGTGCTCTTTGCACGTCAGTTTTTTCAGAGGAGGGTGAGCTGGTGTATTCAAAGAGATTTAAGTCTGCTTCTCAGGGCTCGGAAGGGCATTCAAACCACTGATGTCCTTTCTCTGGCAAGGGACACGACCCTGTGTGCTGGCTGTGTATGATCTGCACAGGTTCTGGGAGTTGTCTGTTTCTCTTCATGAGTTTCCAACTACAATCATAAAATGTGGCAGTAATCAGCTGCTGCCCTTTAAGGATGGACAAGCATTCTCACTTGCTGTAGTTCACACTCCAGCCTGGTGGCTCTTCGGTCAGTTTCACTTAAGCATCTGAGTGTCAGGCCTGATCTGCCAAGGGTCTTGAAGCTGCTCTTCCTCACTCCAGAGACGACCTGATCAGGGCCATCAAGAAGCTGAAAGCGCTGGGCACTGGCTTTGGCATCATCCCCGTGGGCGGCACTTACCTCATTCAGTCTGTTCCAGCTGAGCTCAATATGGATCACACCGTTGTGCTGCAGCTGGCAGAGGTAGGGTGTGCCTTAGAAAGCACTGAGGGGCAGCCTGGGCTGGAGTCAGGAGCAGTGTGCACCTGTCCATTGCTCAGGTCTTTGGTGGAGACTGTCTTGTGAACTACTCATGCCTGTGCTCATTCAACAGACATTTATTGAGAACTGCAGTGCAGAGCACCTGTCTAGGCTGCAGGACAGAGGCTGGTACAGTCTCTGCCCTGAGCTTAGTCTAGTCAGGCAGGCAGTCGTGCAGACAAGTTCTTGGAGCAGACAGACCCTCTGATGTCTCAAATGCTTGTGGATTCCTCACAAATTTAACTTTGCCAGCTCCCCAACTCAGTTCCTCAGCATGCCTGAAGCATAAACATCCCCCAACATCCTCATCTCCATGACGTAGGAAAGATATTTTTTAAAATTTACTTTTGTGCATTGGTGTTTTGCCATGTATATTGGGTCCCCTGGAACTGGAATTAGTTATGAGCTGCCATGTGGGTGTTAGGAATTGAACCTGGGTCCATCTGGAAGAACAACCAGTGTTCTTTATCACTGAGCCATCTCTCCAGCCATTTTTAACTCTGTAATATAAAACATAATGAGCAAGGGGCTTTCTTTTTTTTTTTTTTAAAGATTTATTTATTTATTGTGTACACAGTGTTCAGTACAGTGTTCAGCCTCCTCGTATGCCTGCAGGCCAGAAGAGGGCACCAGATCTCATTACAGGTGGTTGTGAGCCACCATGTGGTTGCTGGGAATTGAACTCAGGACCTCCGGAAGATCAGCCAGTGCTCTTAACCTCTGAGCCATCTCTCCAGCCCCCAGCAAGGGGCTTTCAATGTTGGAGGATGGGTAGGGTGATGTGGTGCAGGGGCTTCATATTTAAATATCTAAATGAAATTTATGATTATCTGTGTTCCTTCTTGGTTAGTCATCTGGAATCTTCTCTTGGCATACTCTGGCATTCTCTATGATGGTGTATCTTGGGATCTTAGTGCCTTGGACCAGTTTTTCTCCATCCTATCTCCTGAAAGTCACCTCTCTGCTGGCAACTTTCCCATTCTCTGTGTGCTCAGGCTTGTTATATCCTGCTTCTCTGTAGGTGCTAGGCCCCAGGAAATGAACACTCTGACTGATTCAGTTCCTATCCCTCTTTCCTTCAGAAAAATGGGTACGTGACTGTCAGTGAAATCAAAGCCAGTCTCAAGTGGGAGACGGAGCGAGCACGGCAAGTGTTGGTATGTGACAGGAGATGGCCTGGGGCCCAAAGAGCAGCTTTGCTCTGTTCCCTTCTACCCTGAAGCCTGCTACTTTAGCACCAGCAGGAAGCCCAGCATCTCTGTGGTAGCACTGAGAAGGCAGAGCTTCCTAAAGCTGGCCTCTTATCTTGATAAGCAAACTTGCTACCAAGGGACCAATGAATACCCATTAGCTTTCCTGGACACATGAAACCTGGTGCTGGTCAGTCAAGACAGTGATATAGTTTGTACTGGAAATAATAGCATAGAGCAAGAATTGGTAACCACTAGCCGTGCGGTGGTAGCACACGCCTTTAATCCCAGCACTCGGGAGGCAGAGGCAGGCGGATCTCTGTGAGTTCGAGACCAGCCTGGTCTACAGAGCTAGTTCCAGGACAGGCTCCAAAGCCACAGAGAAACCCTGTCTCGAAAAAAAAAAAAGAAAAAGAAAAAAAGAAAAAAAAAGAATTGGTAACCACTGAAGGTAATTATCTGTAATTACAAAATTTATATGGTGGATAATTTTGTCTATACAAATTGTGCTAGTGAAACCTAGGCTAGAATACCTTTTCCAAATCCCAGCAATTCTCTGCACTTCTATCTATAAAATGGAGAGAACATAAAATATGGACACAGCTTATTTTCGGAAGCTAGTTGCTTATAGTTCTAGTATGATCCCTCCCATTTGCTCCCTGCGTATTACCTCCAAGCCATCCAGAACCCTGGTCCCTACGTTGCTCTGGGGAGCTGGAGAGGAGTGACTGACAGCATATAGCATATGCTGCTGGAGCCCTGCCTCCCCCACCATCTTCATCACACTGCAGCTTTACCTTTCTGCAGCTGTTAAAATACTTGGTGCCATTTTTTTTTTCACATCTTGGCCAAAGTGAAACATTGTTCCCATTTAGGTGTGTGAACAAAGGAAGGCATATGCTAAAGTAGGTGAGGAATTGCTTAGCTCTTCAGAGGTACCCGTAATCCCTCTCAATTCAGCCCTCTTCTTCTCTCCAGGAACACTTGCTGAAGGAAGGCCTAGCCTGGCTGGACCTGCAGGCTCCCGGGGAGGCCCACTACTGGCTGCCAGCTCTCTTCACAGATCTCTACTCCCAGGAGATCTCAGCTGAGGAGGCCAGAGAAGCCTTCCCTTGACAGAGTGTGGAGAGGACAACAGCAGCAGCCAGAAGGGGACCTGCCTGTGAATAAACCTGGACAATTTTGTTTATAAAAAAAGCTTCATCCCAAGTTTTTCCTTGCCTCCCTCCCCCAGGATTTATCTTTTATCCAGTAAGATAACCTGAGTAACAACACATAAAAGGACACCAACAAACCCACAGTGCTGGGCCAAGAAGCAGTGTCTCGTGTCTGGCCTTAATACAGCTCAAATTACTACTCCACTAATGCAAACTTCCTCACTCCTTTTTTTTTTTTTTTTTTTTTTTTTTTGAGACAGGGTTTCTCTATGGCTTTGGAGCCTGTCCTGGAACTAGCTCTGTAGACCAGGCTGGTCTTGAACTCCCAGAGATCCACCTGCCTCTGCCTCCCGAGTGCTGGGATTAAAGGCGTGCGCCACCATCGCCCGGCTCCTCACTCCTTTCTATCCCTGTGGACCTAGGCTCTCAGTCACTGTGACTTAGCTTGTCTTCTGTGGAGCCTCTAGTTTGAGGGACTGAAGGATCTGAAGTCCGGTAGAGGAAAGCCGGAAGTGCAGTTCGTGGGCGCAGCCGATGCTGCATTTTGTTCAGGTTCCTCACCAGCTCCTATAGACTCAAGGTGGGCAACTGCTGGTCCCCACCTTACTTTTACGTCACTGCCCATTCGGCCTTTAAGCAGCCTCCAATAAGCAGGTATGATTCATGGGGTAGTGAATGCCAGAGGTTGTGAAAGCTAATGTCTGGCTCTACTAGCCCGAGCCCACTTTTCCCATCCCTGTCCTCACCGCACAGGCTGGATGGGCATAATTAATTGCACTGGGCATTTCCTACATTCATGATCAACCAAGAGGAAAAGCTTACCTCAGAAAACAAGTGAATGAGGTGGCAATGGAGGCTCAAATTTATAGCCTAGTATTTATAAAGTGCCTGATCAGCACCTAGACACTGAAATACAGTGGATTCAACGCTGAGACATCTTTTGGCTGCCATAATCTGGGCCCATCTCTACCTCAAACTGTCCTCACAGGACATGCTCAGTCAGTCAGTCTTGAAAGCTACTTTTGAATCCACTGGACACAGCACATGGAGACTCCACTTCCAAATCTCAAACTAGACACAAATACTCCTTCCCACAGAAACCCCAGTCCTTAGCATCTAGAAACAGGCGTCCCGCCTGCAATTGTTAGCCCAGCTGATTAAACACTGATTTCACACAAACCCTCCCACACCCATAGGTGCTTCCTCCTTCTGCCAAAACAAACTTTATTGCACCAAAAAGGAAAAAAGAAAACTTCATTTATGTACAGTCAGATATAAAGACATTTCTTTGACTCCTGTGCATATATTTCCTCAACTTAAGATTAGGGCATAAAAGTCAGGCTGCTATGCCAGACATGCTCTGCCCCATGGCAGGGCCAAGGAGAAGATTGTCACTTGAAAGTGGGAACACTTAAATGGATGACAGACAACACTGGACCCACAGACCAAAGTCATTCTTCTCGGCCCTGGACTAGCTCTGGGAATGGAAGAGGGAAATTGGAAGCAGGGTCCCTTTTCAAGTCTCCACATCTGACCCAGCCTCCAGGTAGCCTAAACAAACTTCTGCTCCCCAAGTGAACTGTCCCTGTCCAGTTTTCTTTCTGCCCTCCCAAGAGGTCCCTCTTTGTGCCCTATCTTCTCCCTATATCTTCTAGGGAGTCCCATGATCCACAAGGCAGAGACCTTTATAGCAGCGGGCAGGGCAGGTAGTTCTCTGCATTCCTCAGGGCTGGATAGTGCAGGAGGCCTGTACCACATGGATCACTAACTACGTACTAGGAGTCAGAACAGCAAACCTGAAAAGTGTGAACTGTATCAAACTGGGAAGGATGGATTCCTCTGATCCCAAGCCACTGAAAACATGTTTTTCTGACTCAACCGCCAGAAGGATCACTGTAGCTAAATTCAAAAAAGGAGCAGAGCCAGTAACAGGGGAGAGGTAAAGGGAGGAGTCTCCAGTCCCCACCACAACCCTCTTGCCATTGGCTCTCCATGCTCACAAAGCCCCAGGGGATGGGGGGGGGCTGAAGGGAGGACAGAACTACGGACTGGGATGAAAATATAAAAGAACAGCTGAACAAAATAGGGACTAGTATCAAGTCTCCCCGTGCTCTACCCCAAGAAAACCACCCTCCTTGACTAGTATTCAGGAAAATCTGTAAGAGACTATTTTATGTAGTGGCTCAAATCCCATACATGCTGCAGCTGCCTGTGCTGGGAACCTTTCAAATCAGTGATTGTGGGAACACAGTAAGCAGCTTCCTCTGACACCTGTGCAGGCTTCACAGCGACCTGGGCTCCGTCCCAGTGGGACTTACCTTCCACCTGTAACCTAAAATGCTGAGGAAATGGTGTGAGGGAGAAAGGTGCTCAGGTGCTAGGTAAAGCTTACTGATCAGCAGCCCAGACCCCACCACTGTTCTTCTCTTTGGTCTGTCTAGAACAGTGACTATAAATTAGGAAAAACAAAGTTATGCTGGACCATGGAAAATAATGGGAGAAGGGAGGAAAAGGGTGTTGGGAAGCCCTGCTTCAAGACTGAAGACAAACAGATAACCAACCAGACTGCTTAAGTATCACAGACAGCATCCCACCCAAACTCCCAGCTATCCCTAGAAACCACTTGGGCATGCTCCCTCTTGGGTTCTCATTTTCTGTCTTCTCCTATCCCTAATTAGCTGGCCCTGCAGAGAGGTGTGTTGGTTGTTTAGCTTTGCCAGAGGCCACCACTCTAGGTCCTCTTGCAAAAGTGCCCTGGCCCTGATCCAGGATTGACTATAGCCCCAGGTGCTCCAGCACCAAGGAGGTCAGATTGGGAACAGCCCCACTCCCACACCCTGGAATTGAGTTTGCTTGCTTCTTGCCATCTTGCGGGATGCCGGGAAGCCGACACTTTTGAAGGGAGATGCACAGTGCCTCTCCGTCCCTGGGGTGAGGGGAGGGGCTCTGCTGGGACTTTCGAGTTGGGGGAGGGGCAGGGGAGCAGGGTCTAGACCCTGAGGCTCCCATGAAGGTCTGTCTCTGTCCCAGATGAGCTGCTATCAGAGTCCATTTCAGCATTCTCATTATGGAGCCTCTCCAGCACTTTCTGCCGAATCAGTCCCAGACGCATCAAGAGGGACTGGTAGTCAAAGTGGCCCCGCTTCTCTCCAAAAGGGTCCTGTGGAGGAAAAGACAAGGGGATGTAAGATTCAAGTCTATTGCACAGGGGCAGAGGATGTACAGTGCAGCACAGGGTCCACAGGAAAGTGTATTACTGCCCCAAACAGGTCTAGCTTGGGCTCACACTAAAACATGTCTGCACTCTTTTTAAAAGTAAGTCAATAGAGGATATGGGGGAAATTCTATGAGGTATCAAGGAAGACTGGAAGGTGGGTCTGTGTTTTCTTTTTAAATTTGTTTTGAGATCTTATTTATTTTTATTTTATGTGTACGAGTGCATAGCCTGAATGTCTGCATGTCTGTAGAGCACATATGTGCAGGACCCATGGAGTTCAGAAGATGGATTCCGATCCCCTAGAACTGGAGTTACTAGTCCTCTGGAGGGATAGTCAGTGCTTTTAACTGCTGAGTCATCCATCTCCCCAATCCCGAGAGCCTGTGCTTTCAGCTAACCTTGAAAACTCAAGAAAATAATCTCCCTCCATCTTCTGTCCTCAAGGAGGACACTCTGCTTTTTTGGGGGGAGAGGGGGTGGGGTTTCTCTGTAGCTTTAGTGCCTGTTTCTGGAACTAGCTCTTGTAAACCAGGCTGGCCTTGAATTCAGAGATCAGCCTGTCTCTGCCTCTTGAGTGCTGGGGATTAAAGGCGAGCACCACCACTGCCCAGCAACACTCTGCTTTTCTAAGGTCACAGGTAGGTCTAAACTCAGTACTGACTTCCTTGTAAGTACCTGTACTCTTTCCCCAGACACCTGTATGCCTTTCTAGGTTTCTGGGCAATGCTCCAGGGTCACCTAGTCCTGATCTCAGTATGTGTCTTCTAGATCAAAGATCACTTAAGTTTTTTCTGAGACCTAGTATCACTGTGTAGTTCTGGCTGACTGGAGCTCATTTTATAAACCACAATGACCTTGAATTCAGAGGTCTGCTTCTGCCTCCCTACTGCTGGTATTAAAGACATGTACCACCACACCCAGCCAAAGATCACTAAACATTCTATATATTTAATTATCTTCAAAGTATCAAAAATAACTATAGTTGGAATGGAGTATATCAAAAAATAAAAACAGAGTTTTTGAAACTAAAATATATATGAGTGAGCTCCAGGCCAGCCAGGGTAACATAGTAAAACCCTGTCTTAAAAAGAAAAAAAAAAAAAAAAAGAGGAGCTGGACACCTCCCCCCCAATAAGCTCCACACTCAAAAACAAAAACTCCAGGCTGAAGAGATGGCTCAGCGGATAAGAGCACTGACTGCTCTTCCAGAGGACCTGGGTTTAATTCCCAGCACCCACATGGCAGCTTATAAGTAATTGTAAATAGAGTTCCAGGGCGATCTGACACCTTCACACCATTGCACATAAAATAAAGTTAAATCCATCATCTTAAAAAAAAAAAAAAAAAACTCCTTCCATGTTTATCTTTTGTGGTTATAAAGATTCATTCTCTAAGTCCCGTACATTCTATGCAAGTGTATTACCAATGAATTAAATCCTCAAACAACTACAACTTCAACTGAACATTAGTCTTAGGAGCAGCTATCAGTGGGTGCCAGTAATGGTCACTGTATCAATGGTCCACCTTTTTCACTCATGAGGGTTACAGTCTTCAAGGCAGGATTTTAGCTTTACTCTGGGACTATCAGTTCTTCAAATGTTCCTGCATCCTTGACAACATTTCCCCCACGCCATCTCCCCAGAAACTGCTCCTCTCACCCATACCTCACGGAACACTTCTTCACAATCTCAACATTGGTAATTGCTAAAAGGTACCAGTGACGAAATCTCCTCATGGAGAACAGACTTGGGCAGGCTTCCTCTAATATCCCCTAAAAAGTAGTTGGGGGGCTGGAGAGATGGGCTCAGATGTTAAGAGCACTGACGGTTCTTCCAGAGGTCCTGAGTTCAATTCCCAGCAACCATATGGCAGCTCACAACCATCTATAATGAGATCTAGTGCCCTCTTCTGGTGTGAAGGCAGAAAACTGTATACATAATAAATCTTAAAAAGAAAAAGTAGTTTGGGAAACAAGTCCTGTTTCAGGTGAGTGGATAGAGAAGCTAACTAAGAAACAAACACCTACTGTATCCCCTTCGCTTTGTAGACCAGGCTAGCTTAAAACTCAGAGATCCACCTGCCTCTGCCTCTCTAGTAAAAACAAACCCTTCTTAAATTGGATGTGGTGGTACATGCCTTAATCCTAGCACTTGAGAAGCACAGGAAGTTCTAGGCAAGACTGGTCTACTTAGAAGTTCTAGACAGCCAGGGCAACAAAAATGAGACCTTGTTTAAAAAAATAAAATTAAAGTAAAGGCCTTTCCTTAATCTGCATTAAAAAAATTACATCAAGGTCTTACTAAGGAGTCTCTAACTCATAGCAATTCTCCTATCCGAACCTCCCAAGTACCAGAATTACAAAAATGGACCACCATATCTAACCCATGCTTTTAAATTTTATTATCATTATCGTATGCACGATATATGTTTATGTATGCCCTGGCATGCATATGAAGTAAGAGGACAAAGGACAACTTTGTAGAATCAGTTCTCTCTTTCCACCTTTACATTGGTTCCACAGATTATATTCAGGTCTCCAGGGGCTGGCGAGATTGCTCAGGGGTTAAGAGCTGACTGCCTTTCCAGAGGACCAGGGTTCAAATACTCTCAGCACCCACATGACAGCTCACAACTATCTGTAATTCAGTTCGAGGGAATCTGACACCATCACACCAATGTGCATACAATTAAATAAATTATTTAAAAAACAAATAAATAAGTAACTTCAGGTCTCCAGGTTTCTGTGCCAATTGCATTACCTTCTGAGGCATGCTACTGGCCCCATTAAAGCCTATTCTTTTTTGTGTGGGGGAGGTTAGAGATAGGGTTTTCCAGTAGCTTTGGAGCCAGTCCTGGAACTTGCTCTGTAGACCAGGCTGGCCTCAAACTCACAGAGATCCACCTGCCTCTGCCTTCTGAGTGCTGGAATTAAAGGTATGCGCCACCTTTTCTTTCTTTCTTTTTTATTTTTAAGATTTATTTATTTATTTTGTTTACAGTATTCTGTCTGTATGTGTGCCTGCAGGCCAGAAGAGGGCACCAGATTTCATTACAGATGGTTGTAAGCCACCATGTGGTTGCTGGAAATTGAACTCAGGGCCTCTGGAAGAACAATCAGTGCTCCTAACCTCTAAGCCATCTCTCCAGCCCCAGAGCCTATTCTTATATGAAGCCAGCACACACTTCCCCAGTACAAGCAGAGAACTTATTACCACCTTTAGAGTAGGAATCAACATGGCAATACACACCTAAGGCTACCCTACAACAGTGTTCCCCGTGAGCCCGTAGGGTCAGGGTCAGATTCCAACAGTGATTCTCTATAATCTTTGAGGTTCTCAGCAGTCTGTATGTTCTTGGAAGAGCTGAAAGGCCTAGACTAGAAAGAAAGGTTGTAATGTACATTCCAGAACAGATTGTTCCAACTTGACTGAGTTTGACTATGCCATGTCTAGAAATCATCTCCACACACTTTCTTAAGCAAAGCAGTCTTTTTTGCTGGCTTCAGCTCCTCAAATGACAAAGGATTCTTTAGCTGTAACATTTTATGAGATGTGGATGGAACCTGGGGGATTCCCCCAGGTTCCATGTGGGGCTTCAAGAATTAGCAAGAAAATACTATATTACCTGCATAGTCTGGCCTTGAAGATGCAGGCGATCTTTGCAGGCCACCTCATAAAAGTCATAATACTCCAGGAAGGATTTCTCCATCACTCCCCTGGGAATTGAACAGAAAAGTCAGAAACATAAGGCACAAGTCCCAGTCACTTCCTAATCTTAGGGTTTTTTGTTTGTTTTTGTTTTTCCTTTTGTTTTTTTTTTTTTCAAGACAGGGTTTCTCTGAGTATTCCCGACTATCCTGGAACTGTCTCTGTAGACCAGGTTGGTCTCAAACTCACAAAGACGTACCTGCCTCTGCCTCCTGAGTGCTCGGATTAAAGATATGTGCCACCACTGCCCAGTCACTTCCTAATCTTAATGCCAAATTGCACATGTCTCTGCAATTAAGAGACTCTACTCTTGCAGAAGAGCCGAGTTGGTTTCCCAGCACCCATGTCAGGTGGCTTATATTGCTTGAACTCTAGCTCAAGTGTATGAAACCCTCTTCTAGCCTGTACACCACACTCACATGTGCTTATCCATGGACAAAAAAACCATACATGTACATAACTAAAATTAAAAGAAAAAAAAAAAAAAAGAGTATTGGATGTTCTTCCAGAGGATCTGGGTTCATGTCCCAGCACACACATAGCAGCTCTTAACTGTCTGTAACTTTAGTTCCAGGGGATCTGATTTCTGGTATCCAAGAGTTCTTGCGCGCACACACACATATCTCTCTCTCTCTCTCTGTCTCTCATTACATACATACACACACCCTTCCTCCCGCTTAGGAAGTTTGAACTGACTTTGTTGTAAGTTCACCTAGTTTTAGCACTCAGAATTTTTTTTTTTTTTTTTTTGAGACAGATTTCTCAGTGTAGCCTTGACTGTCCTGGAACTCACTCTGAAGACCACGCTGGCCTCGAACTCACAGAGATCTGTCAGCCTCTGCCTCCCAAGTGCTGGGATTACAGGGGTGTACCATCCTGGCATTGAAACTGGTTTTAATGGAGTTTACTCTCATTGGGCTCTCTCCACCCCTTCATCAAATCAGAGGCTCTCTGAAGATACGCACTACCTTCCTCATCATACTCCACACTCCCCCCCCTCTTTTTTTTTTTTTTTTTTTTTTTTTTTTTTTTTTTTGTTTTTTTGAGACAAGGTTTCTTTGTAGCTTTGGAGCCTGTCCTGGAACTAGCTCCCGTAGAACTCACAGAGAATCCCAGAGAAACCCTGTCACCCACCCCCGCCGCCACCACCAAAATAAATAAATAAATAAATAGATAGATAGATGGATGAATAAATAAATAAATCCTCCCTCTTTCTACTAACAATGGACTCTGATGCAAAGGTCCTCACAGGTACAAAATGAATCTCTAAAATGGATGGACACTTAGTGGCACATACCGTAAGGGTTCAGGGCAGGGGCACTTTCCCTCCATCATGTCACAGACTGCAACTCTGATGGTCTCATGCCGGATACATTCATTATAGTTTTTGCTGTCTCCTGGATGTCTTTCCTATAATTTGAAAGATACCATAGTACCCATTTAGTCAAAGAGAAAAGTTAGTACAAAGATACTCAGGATTAGTACAGGGTACATGACCCAAATAAACACACACACGGTCCAAGAACATCTTATCCATTGTAGGTCTAAACAAACAACTAAATCTCGGACCCTTGGCCTCTCTCTCTATAAAAACAGCCATTCTATTATAGGTCAAATGACTGTAAGCAGTAAACCAGATCCATTAGATTACCTCAATAAAAGACCTATTAAGTAAGGATGAAATGGAGAACAACACTGAAGGCTTCTGGTTAATTCCTTTTCATGTCTGCAGGGCTCCACCGACCACCACTGTCTACTCTAAGTTATCAAACAAAGAACCTTTTAACTTTTCAAACAAAAAAAGAAGTCAAAAATTGCGGGGTGGTGGTGGTGCACGCCTTTAATCCCAGCACTTGGGAGGCAGAGGCACACAAATCCACCTGCATTCAAGAATCCCAGCATTCAAGAAGCAGAGGCTGGAGGATCTCTGTGAGTTCGAGGCCAGCCTGGTCTACAAGAACTAGTTCTAGGACAGGATTCAAAGCTACACAAGAGAAACTTTGTTTCAGAAAAAAAAAAAAAAAAGGCAAAAATTGGGGGCTAGACATATGTAAATAAATTATACAGCACTTGGCCATAGGGTTCTACCCCAAGCATGCATGTGCATAATACACACACATAATACACACACAATACACATCTGAAAAACAAAATAAAATCCTTTATGACCTACTTGAAAATTAGGACAATATTTACCTCATAGTTAGATAAACATTAAACTACACATATATAGGAATAGCACAGCCTGGCATACAGCATTCATTACCTTTGGTAAATGTGCATTTCCTATGACTTTTTTTTTTGGCAATGCTAATTAGGATATTCTTGCCTTTACTAATGACTAGCCCCCGCTCCCACTTTTTATTAAGATGGGGTTTCTCTGTGTAACATTCCTGGCTGTCCTGGAACTTGTTGGGTAGACCAGGCTGGCCTTGAACTCAGAGATTCATCTGCCTGTGCCTCCTGAGAACAGGGATCAAAGGCATGCACCACCATCACCTGGCCCAAGACTAGCACCTTTAACTACACAAATAATATAGTACACTTTCTATCTCCAAAATAATAGATAGCTAGAGAAAGACATAGGTCTGTGATTTGTGATTCTCAGTACTGGGAAAGACTGGAGCAAGGAAATCTAATCTAGGGGGCTAGTTAAGAGCACTTGCTGCTCTTCCAGAGGGCCAGAGTCTGGATTCCAGCAATCATATCTAGCAACTCACAATTTCCTGCAACTTCAGCTTCAGGTGACCCTCTTTTGGCTTACATGCCATGTACACCACATAACACACACTTGATTAAAGGTGTGCACGACCACACCGGGTTTCTTTCTTTCCTTTTTTTTTTTTTAGTCAGGGTGTCACTATTCAATCGTACCTGGCCTAGAAATCGCTACATAGACCTTGCTTACTTTCACTTCAGAAATCTACCTGCTTCTGCAACCCTCGTACTGGGATCAAAGGCATGCTTTACCATGCCCAGCTGTTACTGTAATTCTCACAAATAAACAACATCCATGTCAGTTCCCTTTCTTTCCTACACTGGTGTTATGTGGGGCTACCCTAGTATAAAAAGAGAAAGACTTTCAAGAGGCAGCTCAGAGCACCTATAGCCTCAGCACATAGCGTAAGAGTCCTTACCTGTTCAAAGCCTGGCTCGTTGTGGTAGGGGTTTTCAGTCATCAGGGACTGGATGGAGATGAGCACAGAAGAGATGCTCTGGGCTGGGCTCCAGGCAGGGCCAGTCCATGTACTGCAAATACAGCAGAGCGACAGGAAGAGGGTGATGCAGAGAACAGCCAGGGAACCCTGACAGCAGCATCACCATCATTAGTGACTCAATGGAAGTTTCTCTTTCACTATTAATACTTGGGAAATTCCCAGCTTCTGTCTTTTACCAGAACAGAACTCTCATTTACCAGAACAGTCAAAGGCCTATATCCTTCTATCAACTGAGAACAGAAGAAAACAGAGAGCAAGCAAGACAACTCTGAAAAGACTTTCTTGGAGCTAGAAGAGAAACAGTAGCCAAGAAAGATTACCGTACCAAAACAAGGATCCAAGTTAATAAAAATAACTCTAAAGGTTGTCTAAATGTTAACCTGCGACTTCAAAATGCTTATGTATTTAGTGGTGGTGACAGTTGGTGGAGGAAAAACAGCTAATCAGAGGCACAAAGGTGGCTAAAGCTGTTGTCTATAAGGCTACACGTTGAAGTTCATGGTCAGGGACTCTGCTCTATAACAAGCCAAGCAGGATAAATCTCTGAAGATACACAACTCTGCTAACATAGAAAGGAAGGTGGTAGGTACATTTTCGCAATATGGAGAACAAGTTGAATACCAGGGAAAATACCCCACACAATCTTTTTTTTAGACAGGGTCTTGGAATAGCCCTGGCTATTCTCCAACTTAAAAGCAACTCTCCCGTCTCTGCCTCAATTTCAGGGATTACAGGTATGCACTACACCACTCCTAACTAAACATCAGGCATTAAAGAAGTGGGTCAGTTGGACATCAGAGTTTTTTTTTTTTTTTTTGGAGGTAGGGTCTCACTAATGTTCTAGAACTTGGTACATAGACCATAATGGCCTTGGCCTTAACAGAGATCAGCCCTTCCATGCATTGTAGGTATTTATTTTAGATCAATTAATAAACAAGATGCCATGAGAGATAGAAGCGGAACACAACCTGAGCCAAGACTAGCTTATTTAACTGAGCACTGCCCTTTCTCTTCTACACTCGAGGAAGGCCTGAGTCAGGGGTATAGAACAGTAACTTCACAGGTTGCTCTCTCCCAGCAGTTCCCTAGCAACTTTGCCTTCTACTCCCCACTTTACATGGACAGGAATTCAAGTCAACACGGTCAGCTCTCATTTCATTTCTTTCAGCAGCCAGTCAGCTCAATGGTTCTTTCTAGGTATGAAGAGAAGGAAGTAAGCCAATAAAGCTAATGTAGCCAACTAAAAATATTAAGAAATTTTCTACTCCATGATTCTTAACTGTAAGTTTTCTATTTCTGGATGGGTCTTTTCCATGCAACAAACTTCTTCCACCACCACTCTTTGCCTGTTCTTTCTTTTTTCTTCTTCTTCTTCTTCTTTTTTTTTTTTTTTTGGTTTTTTGAGACAGGGTTTCTCTGTGGTTTTGGAGCCTGTCCTGGAACTAGCTCTTGTAGACCAGGCTGGTCTCGAACTCACAGAGATCCGCCTGCCTCTGCCTCCCAAGTGCTGGGATTAAAGGCGTGCGCCACCACCGCCCAGCTTGCCTGTTCTTTCTATGGCTCTTAAGTATCCAAAATGGCTTCATGTTAGCTCATTGATACTTTCAGGAACAAATTTCACACCAACTCCAAGACTCAGCTGTCATATTACCAAGGGACACACACATACACACAATTCCACCAGCAGAGACACTTGTGTAGCCTAATAAGATGAAAGACTTATTATGGGCATCTCCTTCAAAGGGACTTCCAACTGTCATCTATCAACAGTATAGAGTATAGTATATCTAGAATTTGAGAATTCTAGAAAAATACGAACCATATCTCTAATATATTTTAGCTGGCTTTCTCACACAAACCTAGAAATGTGCTAGATGGAAGAAACAAACAGGATCACCAGTTTAGGTGACTTTCTTAACATCCAATCCGTATTTATTCTCCACCTCAGGGAACTCTGGATCACAAAAGAACAATCTAAAACATGCTACAAGACATTCTTCGTTCTGAATTTTAAACTCACAAAGGCAGCTAATACAGAATGAGTAAAAATTCCACAAAACACCATCCCAGTAGCACCCAGGGAGTATACTTGATACCTGTTTCATAACTGCTATAATTTCCAAACTCGGATTTTTTTAAATTCAATTATTATGTTATCATAAACATTATTAGCACCACCGCCTCCAAAGGCACCCATTCAGAGACTCCAATCAGACACCCCCTACATGAATACAACAGTCCTAGAGTCATTCTCGAGCCTTATGGAAAAAAGTGAGACCCTAATGTTCTAAGGGACTAGTTCTCAAAGGAGTGCACATGTACAGCATAATCACCTGCACAGCCCCAAAACCAGACCACTGGCATGCTCCAAAATTTCTGGCACATCTCATAGAATGGGACCTTCAAATCTGCAGATACTGCTGTGGCAGCTCAGGGACCACACTTGTAGACCACTTCATAAGACATTCCTTATATATAATAATTTGATTTTACTCCTTTCCATCTAGAATGACACGAGTCAGGAACCAACCTGAGAACTAAAGAGTTGACCACTTTTATGTTGTGGGTTCAGTTGAGGTACCCCAGTTGACAATGGCTGCTCTAAAGTGATTATTTGCTAATAACAACTTGGCTACTTAGAAGTCTCCTCTTACCCTAGAATACTCAAGCAGACTTTCCCATTGCGGTAGAAGTTGGGGTTAAACCTCACTGTGTTATTGCCCGTTGTCATCAGTTTGACCCGAGGTGGGTGGATGGGGTAGTCGGGTGGACACCGAAAGACGAACAGGAAGAAACCCCCTTCATAAGGAGTGTCAAATGGGCCTGTGATCAATGCATGAATCTGTAAAATAAAATCCCATCTCAAAATCTCAAAATTGTGAGGTGATGCCCCACCACAGCCCCTCCTGGCTTCCACCTGCTACCCACACCAGGAACATGCATTGCTTGGTGTTCATATTCCACATCCTCACCACACAGAATGAACTGCCTGGGGGCTCACTCCCATAAGTGGGTCTTCAAATTAAGTGAATCTCACTATAGTGGGACAGCATCATACCTCACACTTGGAGTTATATTCAAAAGTTAAAGCCTGAGGTGAAAAATGACCCTTGTCCATATTACCTTAAAGGTTGGGTTTTTTTGTTTTTCCCCCACTGATTGGTATATGGACAACAAATAGAACCTAAATAAGTAAAATAGCATTTTCATATGTTTAAGGAATTAATACATATTTTTACTAGGATGTTTGGATTTGCCAAGGTTAACCATGCTTATGACACAATTCTACTGTATGTTTGTATGATAGGAAGGGGAAGTAAGATGAATGGAAGAAAAGGACTGGAGGTTACAGCACCAGCACCAGTAACAGTGCAGAAATGACGACTACAGGGTTGGAGAGATGGCTCAGAGGTTAAGAGCACTGGCTGCTCTTCCAGAGGTCCTGAGTTCAATTCCCAGCGACCACATGGTGGCTCACAACCATCTGTGCTAGGATCTGGCGCCCTCCTCGGGCGTGTGGGCATACATCGAGGCAGAATGTTGCATACATAATAAATAAATAAATAAATCTTTAGGGGAAAAAAAAAAAAGAAATGACGACTACAATGGATGCATAGGTGTCTGCTTGTTGCCTCCAGAGGATCTAAACTACCACTTCCATGTCAGAGATACAAAGAAAAATGGGAAAACTCAGGAGTACATTAAAAGAAAACAAAGCATCCCCAAAAACTCCCCAACACTGCTGTAATATATATATATATATCAGTATTACTTAAAACATAACATTAAGTTCTCTTCCTCCACAAGTTGTAATTATTGGACATAATCTCCCTTCAAGAAGAGAAGCAAACCTGAGTTGGCTCAATTCTACCTCTTTTTCAAAGGCTTCTAACGACTTAAGTATGCTCAGAATAACAGCCAAAGGGGAAAGGACCTTGCATTCCCATGCCTCAATCTATAATCCTACCTTGTCCTGGCAACACAGTAGGCTATATTTTAGTCTGTAAACTCTGGAATTAGTAAAGTCAACTGGCATCAAGTCTAAGGCCTCAAGTAATGGCATATTACTCTAGCATTTGACTGGAGACACCATGTCCCAGGAAAAAACATTTCTAACCATGTGAAAACAAAAAACAAAAAAAGAGGAGGGGGGGGGGATCAATTTAAAATAAAGTCTGTTTAAAATAAAAAAGTATATTAGAATACAAAAGCTGAGTTTTTACTTTAGAAAATCTGAACTCACTAGTTATTGCTTAAAACACTAGATTTAGGAAATCTGATTTCTTCCCAACAACAGCATATGTCCAAATTCACTCCTGAGAACATTCAATGATAGAGAAGCCTAGGTACATATGCCAGAGAAATATGATCATTATGCAGATCATTCTGTGTAGAGGACAAGAGAGGACAGGTCTCTGGGGGAGGGGGATACTCTAAATCTAGTTATCTAGAAAAGGATCCTTTACCACAAACCAAAATGACCACATCCTCAGCTTTCCCTGCACCTGACTTGCAGTACCATAGTAAAAATCAAGATGCTAAGATGGAACAAGAGCTTGGGGGTACAATGAATAGGGTGACCATAATTTATCACCTAGGGTGGAGCATTTGAGAGGGAAAGAGTGGCCTGCTAATATCTAAGATGGAACAAGAGGCACATCTTGTCAACCTGAGGATTTTCCAAGCCCAACAATACCTGTGTGTATCCTAACAACAGACCTACTTAAGATTCTGCTCCACTTCTCACTGTGCAACTTTGGGCAAGCCACTTACTTTCTTGGGGTTTTGATTTCATCTCTATTAGAAGAGGAAAGCTAAATAATGTTTTAGGCTCTTTCAACTTTATGAGTCTAATTTTCCAATAATTCCCCTGCCCCCAGCCCATCAAGTTACATACCTTAGTCATGTCAACAGTATCAGGTACAACGAACATTCCTGGAGGAGGCTCCTTATAAATGGACATGATATCCCTGTATAACATCAAGAGAAGTTGAAGGAATGAGGAGAGAAAAGGGAAAAACCCTTGAGCAGGACAGCTATTATAACTTCAGTGAGCCCAGGGGTTTCGAGAAATTGGTGCTTGGTACCACAAATGTTTGCACTGTCTTGTTGGCTGAGAAACCTCATCTGAATACTCAGGCGGGCAGAGAGCAAAGTACTATCAAAGGGGCATTGTTTCCCTGGAGGTGGGGGGCACTGAAAAGAAAAAAGTAAGCCAACATCCCAATAGGATCAGAAACAGATGTCATCCTGGAAAAGCCACATCCCACTCACTTCTTCCTACATGGAAGCTCATTTACTTCCCATCCACTTCCCAGATTCCCCGGCACTACAACCAAGCATAGAGACTTAAAAAAAAAAAAAAAGTAATTGGGAAGGCAGCAAGTCTACTCCTAAACTTGTTCCAAAAGCCACATGGTGGGCCTCTGCTGGTAAGGAGACTGTATGAAGACTGCAGGAGTAAGTCCACCATGGTCTGTGTTTCCAGGAAACTGACAGGATAGAGTTCTTCATGGTCGGGAGAAGGGAACCCTCTGAAATGACAAGAATTTTCTATCTGGAAGATGACATTTAGTAACCAGGATAAATGAAATTTCTAGGTCATTATCTAATCAACTAGAATGGATCAGCTGAGAACTGGCTCAAAGAAAAGTCAATTATGAGGAAGTCCAGAGACATGGTAGGATAGCAGACCAAAAACATGTTTGTGCCAAACTCAAAGGTGTATCAGGACTGGGGCATCAAACTGCCATGAGGTCGAACTCTGTGTTGAAGTTAGAGGTGGCAATCTCTGTGAAGTTGCTGTTCTGTATCAAGCACTGGGCCAGGTCCTTTAAACGCACGGTGTAGTTTATTTACTAGAAACTTGAAAAATATGTAGGTGGGCAAACACCTGAAGGGACTTGGAATGTTCAGGATAATGCCTATGAAGGGCATGAAGAGAGTCAAGTCTGGTCATCAGGAAGCTGTTCAACAGGGCTACCCTTTCCCATGCAATAGGTATTACACTAAGTAAGCACTTTTGCAAAAACACATTCATCTATGAAGCGATACGATCTAAGATCAGTCACCCAAGAAACAAGCACGGAAAGGCCATAGGCCTTTTGTTTCCTACATTTGAACAGTGTGTATCTGCTTCACAAAAAGTAAATCAGACAGACAATCCAGGGGGGAAAATACAGGGAAAAAGTTTTTGAATAGGATATTACAATCCAAAGTGATACTAGCAGAGGGGAGGAACTCTTGAGTTTCCGGAACAGGTGTGAGAGTGGGGCAGCTTTCGGGAGACGGAAAAAGGAGTTCAAGAGAAGACCTGGAAAGTCAGGAAGGCCATCTAGACCTGGGGAAAGGACCATATGGTGGGGATTTGAAGAACGGTAAAAAAAAAAAAAAAAAAAAAAAAAAAAAAGGCTGGCTTGAGTCTGCAACAAGGAATGCAGGCAGAGTATGTCCCAAGAGGGGCTCCAGAAGAGGTGAGGGGGGACCTATGGGTGGGGCCTGAGGGCAGCCTCTAGGTAGGCTGGTGGGGTAAGAGAGGAGGCGCGAAGGGCGGGACCCAACGTTACCGAAGAGCAAAAGGGTCGGGTTTCGGGCGAATGGGAGGGGGTAGGGAAAGGGCGTCCAGAACCGAGCCGCAAGGCTCGCCGGAGGTCGCCAAGGGGCGGGGTATGCCCGAGGGCACCGTGGATGGTTTGGGCGTGCAGGGCTGAGTGCTGAGGAGGGAGAGAGGGAGGGAGGGACACTAAAGCCCCGTCAGCGGAGGCCCGCAGGGTTTGGGCCTGGAAGACATGAGGCGGGAGTGAGCCCCGATGGGGAAGGGGGGGCGGGGAAGGTCGAGTCCCGGAGCTCCCGGCTGAGGGAGGAAAAACCCCGGCTCACCGCTTGATCCGAAGTAGACACTGAGGCGCGGTTCGCTCGCCGTCCCAGTCCGAGCTGAGAGTGGGGTCCCAATGGCTAAGCAGCGCGGCCCCGTGGGCAGCGGCCGAGGGCGGGAGTCCTGGCAGCGGAGCCAGGCCGCTCCCCGGCCCCCCGGCCCCGCCCGCCGCCGCCGCCGCCGCCCACACATCCGGCAGGAAAGGCGGCCCGAAGCCGCCGCCGCTCCCGCTAACGCCGACCACACCGGCAACACCGCTCGCCCCTGGGCCTGCCGCCCCGGCGCCAGCCGTCGCCGTCGCCGCCTCCTCAGTCGGACTCTCCGCCATCGCTGCTTCGCTTCCGGGACTGCTCAGCAGCACGTCCGCCGACCAGAGCGGCCGCTGCTCCCGCACCACCGAGAGCCGGGCCAGAGTGTCCCCACCCTCCGCTTCCCGAGCCCGGGCGGCGCTGGCTCCGCCCACCTCCTCCCGGACCAGCGAGAGAGAGGCGTGCTGCCAGAGCGTCCACCCACGGTCCTCCAGGGCTGGGGGCGGGGGCTAGCGGACTAGTCGTTCCAGGCTGGCGCCAGTTCTGCTCTCCTCCAGAGGCCCTGGCAGCCCACCTCCGTGGAAGGCTTCATGTTCAAGTGTTGATCTGGGCGGAGGAAGTTCAGAGAAGATGGAGAGAGCCACAGTTTATCCCTTTAAAGGGAGGGACCATCGGATGCTCTTCTAGGGTAGGACTGAAGTCCAGCCTCCCTGTAGAACGCTCTAAGGGAGAGCTTGACTAAGTTAGGGTCCTTCGCGTCTCTACGGTTCTGTGATGGATCATGCCTCGTTGTCTTCCACCAAGGACTACTATTGCCCCCTGCCTGCGGCTGGACCAAGAGGGAAAACGGAATGAGAACCTGCGAATAAAACACCACCTCGTTTCTGTTTACTCAGTTTTTATTTATGAAGGGCCTGCTTATGGTCAGGAGCTGTTGCTAGGCATTGCCCTGGAGATTATGACAGCTAGGTAGAGGGAGTCAAACGTCAAGCTTGAGTCCAAGCTCAGTATTTTTTTCCCCGCTAATACTAGAATTAAGGGTTTGGAATTCTGAATTTCTTAGAATTATACTGAGATTTGTAATAAGAAAATTAATTTTATGACTAAGCGGAACAGACCTTAAACCGCGTCCTCCAGACACGAATATGAGAATGTGTGTGTATACAGTCTCATAAAATTGCCTGAAAGCCAGAGGTACCACACGCCTGAGAATTTAGACAACCCTTCCAGCTGGACTGAGGCAACATTCATAACATACTGATATTTCTACAGCAAAGTATATGAATTTTTTTTGTTTGTTTTCAGACAAGGTCTCTATATACAGCTGCCTACCTCATCCTCCCCAGTGCTGAGATTACCTGCATAAACCACTACAGCCAGTGAAATATTCATATTATTTTCAGTACATTTATGAATACTCATTCTAGAACAAATGCCCAGGGCCTCACTTTGGATTATGTCTCCCCAATAGTCTCTCCCCAACACCCCAAAGAAGCCTGGTTCCTAAGATGGCACATGCCTGTAATTCCAGCACTAAGGAAGCTGAGAAGACAGGAGGGTCATGAGTTCCAGAATAGTTGGTCCCACAAATTGAGTTCAAGGTCAGCCTGGGCTACAAAGTGACACCCAGTCTCAAAAAGTAAAAACCAACAAATGAAAAGCCTGGGTTCCAAGCCAGGCAGTGGTGGTGCATGCCTTTAATGCCAGCACTGGGAGGCAGAGACAGGCAGATAGATCTCTGCAAGTTTGAGACCAGCCTTATCTACAGAGCGAGTTCCAGGATAGCCAGGGCTACTCAGCGAAACCCCGTCTCTTAAAAAACCCAAAAGCCCGTGTTTTCTTTATTTGTGCATTTTCTCAAATGGTCTGGGGATCTGGAAATAGCATTTTATTGAAGCTGCCAATCGAGTGCTTCGGGCCACACACTTTTTATCTGCTTCATCTGATTTATTCCTTTCACCAGTTCTATGATGTGAGGCCTGTTATTAGCCTCTTCTGACAGGCGGAAAGCTAGCAGGCATCCAAAGGTCACGGGATCACACTGAGAGCAGGTGGCGGCACTGCATCTGACTCCAGACAAGTTCAGATCACTCTGTGCCACTGTTACTCCCACACTCACTACATGTTACCTTGTCACCTTACTAATTATGGTCCTTTGGGATGAGTTGCCCTGTCCTCTGCACTCTAACCACACACACCCGAGGCTCTGTCTTATTTGTGAATTCAGCATAGGGCTTAGTATAATTTATCTTAGGAACTTAACAGTAAATAAAATTAGTAATTTTTTTTTGTTTTTCGAGACAGGTTTTCTCTGTGTAGCTTTGGTGTCGGTCCTGGAACTAGCTCTTGTAGACCAGGTTGGCCTTGAACTCACAGAGAGCCCACCTGCCTCTGCCTCCCGAGTGCTGGGATTAAAGTCGTGTGCCACCACAACCTGGTGAATCAGTAAAATATTTTAGTGTGGTTCCATGTTTTGTTGATGTATCTTTGTTTGGGCTTGATTCTTTTTAATGAGAACATTTTATTAAAACATTATTTTATTTTACGTGTATGAGTGTTTTGCCTGAATCCATGTCTGTGTACCAAGTGTGTGCCTGGTGCCCATGGAGGTCAGAAGAGAGCATTTTTAGATTTCCTGTAGCTGGAGTTGTGGATGGTTGTGAAACCCTATGTGTGTGCTGGGAACCAAACCTGGTTCCAGTCACAGAGGCCCCAAACCTGCCTTTGGAATGGAGGGATTCCTCTGTGTGTTCTTGCTTCATGGTTCTTCTCTCCCTCCATCTACCTACATAGTGGGATGAGCCTCCAATTCCCACTGGTCTTCGGCCCCGAGTGCTAGGGTTATAAACTTGCACCACCATGTCTGGCTAAAACACTTTTCAAATTCAAGATCTGGAAATGATGGGGCAATAACCAGAATATTGCCTTAAGATTCAGACATGAGAAATTAGGTTTTTGAGACAGGGTTTCACCCTGTAACACAGGCTGGCCTCAAATCTGAAAGGATTTTCTCTTTCCTCAGCCTCCAAGGCTGGGATACAGGCATTCAACACCATGCTTGCCTAGTTTAGGAGATTTGACTTTTAGAGCCAGTCATGATATCACAATCCTGTAATCCTAGCACTTGGGAGGAAGAAGCAGGAGAGTAAGGAGTTTAAAGTCACCCTTGGCTATATATCTTTGAAGCCAGGCTGGGCTATGAGACCCTCTCACTAACACACCTCCCAAAAAGATTAGGGTGATTTGTTTGAGACAGGGTCTCACAGTGCAGTCTTGGAACTGCCTATACGGACCAGGAATCTACTTGCCTCTACCTTCCAAGAATTGGGAATAAAGGCATGCTTCATCACACTTGGCCAAAGATTACTTTTTAATCCCACCATCTTTAAAGTCCTGGTTTTTTTGTTTGTTTTGCATTATACAATGTAGGAGAAGATACCCTTGAGGTTTTTCTGAGGATGAGAGTGATATTTGCACCAGTGGGTTTTTTGCTTCATTTTTCCAGACAGGGTTTCTCTGTGTGGCCCTGGCTGTCCTGAAACTCATTCTGTAAATGAGGCTGGCCTTCAATTCAGAGCGGTCTTCCTGCCTCTGCCTCTAGAGTGCAGGGACTAAAGGCGCGAGCCACCATGCCCAGTACCAGTGTTTTTAAAAGTGACAAGCACTGAAAGGATAATTGGCACCTCCCTGACTTGTCATCTTCTCCTTTCTACCTCGTCCCCCTTTTATATACCTCTCTTAGCCTGGAACTCACAGCAATCCACCTATCTCTGCCTCCGTGGTACTGGGATTAAAGGCACGTGCCACCATGCCCAGCTATTTTCTACATAACATTTTTTTCTATTTAAAACTCTTTCCCTCTTGCTTTACCAGAAGAAATCTTACTTAACCTCTCCAAACCTCTGCTCCTCATAGTAAAACTGGACAATAACTGAAGATACTAAAAGCAGAAAACGTGATAATGAATGGACACAATGACTGCCCAGGGCTAATAATAAACGCTTATTATTCTTACACATCTTTTAAAGCCGGTTGAATTCCACTTTCTCTGCCAAGCCGTAACATTTCCAGGCATATTATTATTATGAATTAGTTTTAATTACCCCCTCTTCTGGTTCTTATGGTTGGTTGTTCATCCTTTATTATTATAGCACTTGCTACTTTATTTCAGTGGTTTGGTTACTCATGTCTGGCCATTGGCTAGGGCCTCCTCTAGAACAGAGAAGCCCGGGGCCCCTGTCCTTAGGGCCATTAGGTTGCTGCACAAAGGTCAGCAGGATGGGAAGGAGGCCCTGCCTTGCAGCCACAAGCCCTTCCCTGGGCCATAGATCTCCAGCATTTCACTTCTTCTCCACCCCTTCCTTAGGTATTTGTTTTTAAAGTGCTGAGCCAAACTTTCCACCAAGAACTTGCAAGTCAAGGCCTGAGGGACTGCTGAAGATGGCAGCTACTAAAGGACCAGTTCACCATCCACCAGAGGGACTAGGGACACTGACAGAGTGGGGGTGGGGGTGATATGAGGAGACACGTGATCAGAAAGGAAGCTGGCAAACTCCTTCCAGTCTCCATTGACTTTTTCAAGGCAACATCTGGCTCCTTTCCACAGGGAACTTGGCTAGAGGGCAGTGCAGGCTTTCTGGAACTACTTCTATGCCCTGTGGGGCTGGCTGACAGCTGAGCCAGCTTCCCCTGAGTGTCCAGCTCTAGATCCCCCCAACTTTTGCACTGGGCCAGTACAACTCGCTAACACCTTGCAGGTGTTATCCTCAGGCAGCAGGGGTTGACACGTGTTCAGATCACTTTCTGAAAAGATGCAGGCGGATTCTTCTCCTACTTCCCAGTGCTATGGAGGCAGGCATTCCTTTCCCTCCAGCACTCAGTGTTTTGTCTTGGTGTGATGTCAGGAATACATGAACATTTCCCTACTAGATCAGAAACCTGGAACTAAGGAAAAATCAGAGCTTGGACCAGATACTTGAAAGCTTTTAATAACTGAAAACACTCCCCCCAACATGAATATATTCAGTTCTGTTGATGGTGTTTGAAGTATGACGTCACATAAGCCTGGCTGGCTTGAACCTAGCTATAGCAAAGGCTTGTTACTTCTACTGCCTGCATCCTCCTGGGGTACTGGGCTTACTAGCATAAGCCACCACACACATTCACAATAGCTGTTTAATAACGTAATAAACAACACTCCAGTGGGGAAAGTGCTTGCTGCCCAAGAACCTGAGTTAGGATCTCCAGCACTCATGTAAAAGTTCGGGTTCAGGGGCTGGAATGATGACTCAGCAGTTAAGAGTGCATAACTGCTCTTGCAGAGGACCCATGTTTGGTTCCCAGCACTCACACTGGGCAGCTCACAAGGGCTTGAAAGTCCAACTCCAGGGGATAAGACACTTCTGACTAACTCAGGCACCTACACTCACATACACAGACACACATACATAAACATATCACCAGAAGTCAGTCTCATTCTCACAGTAGATGAAGTCACCAGAGGAGATAGTAACATTTTAGCTAGGATGGGACAGGGCTGAGATCTGTATTTCTGCTTGCCTCCCAAGCCCATGCATTCCTGATTTCCCTGTCTCTCGCTGGAAATGGAACCCAGGGTTTTAAACACATTAGCTAGGCAGGCAGTCTACCACTGAGCCACACTGCCAGACTCACGCTCAGCTCCCAAGATTGTGGTTCCTATGCTCTTCTCAGAGCAGTTTATTCACATAAACCCCCTAAGATCAATTGCGTTTACAAGTATTTTGCAATAAGCAAAATAATCTCATGCATGCACCAACTCCTATGCCACAGATCCTAAAAAGG